GTCCTGGGTGCTTCACCTTGTATCTGTCAACCTCTGGCCACTTCAGTGAGGGAACAGGTAGGACAGAGTCTGCGGTGGTCGGGATGGATGGGCGCATTAAACGTAGGACTTTGATGCCAGAGTTTGCATGCTGAGTACCAGTGTTGGTCAGGTTTAGGCAACAAAAGCACTTTGGTCGAAGCAGCTATACAAGGAACTTTAATTTTGTGTTGATTCTGGCGGCCCCTCTGGTGTTTCTACCGCCTTGTTTTGTTTGATTTTGTGGGAAATCCGACCAAATTCGACCAAGTGGCAGCCTTTTATTTTTTTTGTAGGTCATATAGAGGCATTAGCATTCATTTGAGACTGTTTCACCGTTAAACTCAGCAAAAGATTGTTGTTTCGGTTGATAGTTGATTATGTCAACATGTTGTGTTTAGTGCTGCTGTTTTCAATATTAAATCAAGACCACAACCTTTTTCTAACCTTAACCAAGTACTCTAAGTGCTGAAACAGAACCATAAACAATACTGTAATGCAATAAGTTATTATTAACTAAAAAAATAATAATAATAATTAAGTAACACAAACTCAATTTTGTAAATTATTTTCACAGTATAAATAACAATTACAAAATTAATTCAGCGTTTGCTAAAGTTACTTGATCAAGAACTTACAAAATTGAGTTACAATTATTGAAGTTATCAGTTTCAAATTTATTTTGTGTTCAATTAACTTATCTGGTTTTACGTTGAAGTGCTTTAGTTTTGGATGTTGTATTCCCAGAGCGAATACTGTAAGAAAACAAATATAATGCGTTGTCAGTAAACACTTTGACGATACATTCACAAATGAATATTCTGCCCATAACACATGCCATCAAATCAACATTTGCCTCATTATAATGACAAGAAAACATACTCTGGCTGCAATGTTTTCCTTTAAAAACATACTTGCTGTCTTGAATTAGCAGCATATCAATAATCATTTCTGGGAGAAAGAGTTGTTTCTACCCATTCCGTCTACTTTTCTTTTTCTATGCTACAGTTTTTGAAAAAATGAATATCCACCTCATGCAAGATATCAGATGCAGAAGTTGTTTGGCTAAAAATAGCCAAATGCCAAGAAACAATCAGATATGATGCAGGACTGACATTTATAGCGGTACCAGGATAGCAACGTTGATCTACAGTCATTTACAGGATAGCAACGTTTAAAAGGTAATTGATTGGAGATCCAATAAGATGTCAGAATGATGACGCAGATTTTTTATTCCATGAGGTCTTCAGAGCAATGTACTAACCAACACACACACGGAAAACAACAGACACTATTACTTGTTCTTACTCGTTCATGACCCACATTAGAGTAAAGAATAATTACAGTTTGAGGGCAGAGAGGAGTAATGGCGCACCATGTGTTAGTGATATGACTGTCGTTTTGCCTTACGAGCTCTGCTATTTAGCTCACTAAGATTAGTTAGGTCTATAATCTATTGATCCCGTGGGAACGTTTCTCCATAAGTCTCTCAATGGCTTCCTACTTAAACCCTCATCAAAGGCTGAGGCAATGCGCCCGGCGAGCTGTTTATGTCAATACAGTTAATGTGATGCACTTCACGGCTCCACTCTCAGACACCAATGGCAGCACAAATGAATATATAAATATCCAGCTAGAGACCCAAATAAAAATGAAATAAATAGAAAATAAATTCTTCCCTCCGAGGATGGTAACAGGGAGTGCTCTAGGACAAGATCAGGGAAATGTAAGACAAATCCCAGGGCTGAGCTTCAATTCTCTTGCTGTCATTTCCTGATCCCCATCCCTCCCTTTCTTCTTCTTTTCCCCCCATAAACACATCACCGTCTCACCATTCCGACAGCCTCATCTTTGTTGCCTGTCGTCTCTGTGTCTTCCGTTAATGGTATGGATAACCTATCGTGGCATTGTGCGCCTGTGATCCTAACTGACAGTAAAAAGGATAAATGCCATGAATGAGCACTCCGCTGAGCGTCAGCCATGACCTTTGCCACAGGAAGCTCGCAGCAGTAGGTGCTTGATACACACCACTAAGTGCAACCATCATCAAACACACGCAAACTTGTTTCACGGATGAAAGCGATGAAAATGAGCCAATAGTCTGGTGATGTCATTCTCACAGAGGGAAGAAATCTTAACAGTCAGTCTCTCGTTGTTGGCAGTATATGACATTGAGAGGCAGATTGCAATTTTAGCTACACAAATAGGCTTAACATAGAAAGTAAACAATCTGATTAAAACATTGTATTCAATTTTAATGAGATTTTTTTGTGCTACATGTGGATTTGGAAGGTCTGCTTCCTAATACAGATAATTGTATGGCAAGACTCATAGCAGTCTAGATACAAGGCTTCACAAGTGTGCTGGATGTGTTTTTCAGTCGTCCATTTCACGTCTGCTGATGAACAGGAGGATGAGGGAAAAGTTAATCGACCTCAACAAAGTTTTTCCTAACGGACACCCAAACACACACCCTCCTACCATGCTGCCAACCCACGAGCTAACAGTCAAGTGCAATACATTAATGCATAAGCCCCTGGTTCATCAGAAATATTTAAATGTTTTACAGGAAGGAATTTCTTTACATTTACTAAGAGAGACATAGGAATACAGGGTTTTAACTGTGTGTTTGTGTCTTTAATGACTTGGAGCAGGATACATTTGTAGTTTTCAAATTAATTTCCAGAAACACACACAAAAGGAGAAAGGAACTTGTCGGACTAATTTCTCAGCGGTTAATGGTTTCAATTCTGCGGTTTAACTTTTTTTTAAAATTTGTTGTGGGAGCCAGCTTCCAGTGGTTTCTAAAAGTACATTAGGTCATACATTGGCTTCATTGTACACATTGATTTTATTGTTACTTAACATTAACAAGTTTTAAAAACTGTTCTTTTGTTTTGCCAGTTAAGTTTTACCAGAACAAAAGCTTGTTGTGGAAGTTTCACATGTGGCATTTTAGTCTGCATGTAATTTTGAGTGTGTGTGTGTGTGTGTGTGTGTGTGTGTGTGTGTGTGTGTGTGTGTGTGTGTGATGTTTGGGTGAGATCAGGTTAGAGAGGGAATAAGAAAGAACCCCTGCCAGGGGATTTGGCCGCAGGGTAGTCATGTTGTGGTGAGTTATGACTCGCCACTGGCTTCAGGGGTCATTGTCGAGGAATGAGTAAAAAGACAGAATCCGTGGTGAGCTAAGCCTGAATGGCAGCAGTAGTCTTACCGCTGCCTGGTGAAAAATAAAGCCACTGAACCATGAGCCACAATGTCAGTATGTCCCACAGGCACATGTCAACAAGCGTTTGTGACAGTAACAGAAATATCCCTGATAATGGGATGTCCTTGTTCAAAAACAAACAAAAAGAATAGTTTTCTTTTTTGGTGTTATAGGTCTACTCAGAGTAAATTGTCTGGCTTGTCTGAATCAGGTCTGAAGGCTTGGACAATTTCAAATGTGTGGCCAAGTGGAAAATTTAAGGTAACACAAACCTTTGGCAGTGATATCCTGGCGATCACTATTGTGTTTACTCCATGTAAGCATTGTCAGTGTCTAAGGTTCCTAACCTGACTCACACTGCCAAACACATGCAGGCTTTCAAAATATTTGTAGTTGATAATATGCTTGTTTACTAATCACTGTGGGAATATTCTCCCTGTTCACTGAATGGTAGCAGGTTTCCACAGAACTGACAGTTCACTAAAACCCAGCCCGAATAGAAAATCATAGCTTAGCAACAATAACTATGCATGGCAGGCCTGTCGAGCTGTGGTTTCTCAACATGCTGCAACATGGTGCATGGGGCTCTAATAGTAATACTGTATCTGAATAGTTTGGTGGGTGCTGTCTTTGTTAATCACTTTTTCAAAACCAAAAGAGTAAAAGTGTAAGGGTTTAAACTGTTTATCTGTTAGCATGCCAGGCTAACTAGCTTAATATCTAGAGTTTATTACAGTGGCATTATTTCCAAAGGTAGGGGCCATGTCATTAGCTAATTATAATATCATGTGGTGTTAAAAGTTACTTTTTAAAATAATACCTTTTCAGGACTGAAACAGCGAACTATAACGACCTGTACCCTGCAATACAGGAACCATCCTCCTTTCTTTCCATCTTCTACGGATGATCAGCTGGTGGGGATGCTGACTTTTTGCTTCGGCCTCAGATCATGTATGTAACCACCATGTGCGTATTAAAGACCCCAATACAGGCCTTTGTTTTAAAATGAATCAGCTGAAAACATCAGGAGTCAGGTAAATACAGAGTTCCAAACCAACCTCAGCAGTAGCTTAAAATCAGCTGGTGTTAGCTGTATTTTCATCTGACAAAATCCACAGCTGTTGGCTCGGCCCTGCTTTTGTTTACTTCTCTGTAAATTCGAGGACCCAAAATTACTGCAAATTCTGAGCAGTAAATCAGCTACCATTATCACTGTGAACAGCATAGTGCTTCAGAATGGAAAGCTTGACAGGCAGAGCAACAGTAACTAATGAGGGGGCAGGGCTGAGCCAGTGGTAAATTGTGACCTGCTGGCTGGAAGTGATTCAGTTTCTTGCTCAAGGGCACTTGGGAGAGTTTAAACCAGGTAGTTGTATTCAGTAATGGTCTCCACACCCATCATGCCTCTCTCCTGCCTCAGCTACAAGTTTTCAGCAAAAATAAAAGTCACACTTTTATTGTTTGCTTACTTTTCCTCCTGCAATTATTACTGTGTGTTTATGTTAATCGTAAAATAATTTATTTTACGACGTAGTCTTCTGATGTGATGAAAGAACGTATAATCACAGCCAATTTGATACCTTGAAAAGTACACATTCCACGCCTGCCTTAGTCAAACTGAAGTCATAACCAATCTGAGATAACACATTCCTGTTAATGCATAGAACAATGGACAGCCTGGTCTTATCATAAGGAATACATAATGAGAATTAGAAAGTGAAATTAGATTGCCTCTGTAGCCACGTTATCAATACTGATTTCAGAATATACATACCATATCTTAGGATATTTGGCTCACGCTGTACTCGAGTGACACTTGAGCTGTTAGGGTTGATTTAGTCCAATTTAGTTTGAATCTGCACGGCACACATTGGCGAACTCATTCTGCCACAGCAATGCTATAGGGAAAACACATAAAATACTTTCAATGTCAAGTCAAAGCTAAACAATGAACATAATACTCTATACACAGCTGCACTGACCTACATGGTAATCTCAGTGCAAACACAATAATGATTACATTGTGATAAGCATCCTAGTGGACACATTAGGCAGTGTTGTTATTTTAGCGGATAGGAGTTTACGGCCCATTTATCAGCATGTTTGGTGTCTCTAGGTTATCTCGGACGGAGAAAATGGCTCAATGGAGCCAGAAAACGATATCATTAATTGGGTTTGCTGTTCTTGGGAGTTAGATAATCAAAAGAGTGAGGAGGACCCAGGTTCTGCTTGCATTGTGAGACCCTCGCCATCGATTTTCCTCTTGTTGTTGGTGGGTTTTTTTTTGCTTTTGTTGTGAATTTGCTTCAGGAGCAGATTTTTGTTTTCATTTCCTGGCTGCAGAAAGGTGGTGTCTACTGACAAACCTGTAATTAATCTGGCTAATCAATGGCTGATGCCTTGGGCGCGTGCAAAGAGTCAGCTCTTTCAGAATCACCTGTTGTCTTTGCTCATTTTCTTTGTGTTTTTCGAGTGTGTGAGCATTTCTAGCCACGACAAAAACCTGAGTGTGTGTAATTTTGTGGGCCTGATACAAGATGTGTGTGTGTGTGTGTGTGTGTGTGTGTGTGTGTGTGTGTGTGTGTGTGTGTGTGTGTGTGTGTGTGTGTTCAGGCATATTGAGATAAGAGGAGCAGAGAGTTTGTTGAAATTCAAATATGTGAAACTCATTTTCCAAAAATCACACACTTTGATACCAATTCCTGTCGAGGCCTGACGATGAAGGTATTTCTGAGCTCTGTGATAAAACTTTTTATGTATCAAAGCCGTTACTATGGCGACACTCCATTACTCTTGCTTTGCATAAATGAATCAGGATAAATTAGAAATCCAATTTGTATTGTTTGCCATGCTCAGAATAGATTACAAATGTATCAGCCAGCTGATGCTAATTCAGTTGGCAGCCTGTGTTGTTCTGATGAGAAAGGAGAGGAGTGAGGGGGCGGTATTGGTAGTATATGCAGTGTTGTTTGTCATCATCTTTATTTACCTCGCAGCCACTCCACAGGCTGCAGGCATATGGCTTATGATAATTAGAGTCCGTATCAGGTCTCTCTCTCACCCTGAGTCATTCCCACATTGTCTGTGATCCAGCGCTCCCCTTTATTCACTTCACTTTCAGTGTGCACTTCCAAATCAGATACTAGTTAGATCATTCAAATTAGCATATAGCCCAAAGGTGAAAAATTTGTTTCTTTTCTTTGCCTGTTCTTATTTTTCTTCCAACTCCACAGAGAGGATGCACAGGGAGGAAGTGTTGTGGATGTACTGTTTGTAATGTTAATTTTATATCCCAGTGGAATCTGATACAGCAGTTTGATTGTTATTCCTCTCTACATCAAGGACTCACAGCAAGTGCACTGATGTACAGAGAAAACTCACTATATGTTGCATGGTTTTCTGGGTAAAACATGTTTACCTTCAACATGCACTCACATGACAGAATTATACATGGGGGGTCTAGTTGTTTACAGTAGCCCATTCATTCTCACACAAGGGAAAAACCTCAGCAGGCGTCTTTAACTGGGATTCCATTAACAAGGCATCTCTAATCAGTGGCTACAATTCAAGCACATTTCTGCCGACTAAAAATCTCTCCTTTCAGTGGGCTGCTGGTAAAAAGAACCCTGCTTTTTGGGGAGAGGCACCTCCATCTCATAAAGCCCTGTGTGGTCCAAGGTCTCTGAGAGGAACCAAACAAATGCCAGGTTGGTTAATGGAATTCCCACACTATGAACAGCAAAGAACAGGGTAGCAGTGGGGCTGCAGAATAGTTTAGTTTTTGGGCACCCCTCATTAGAACTGCAAAGCATTTGTAACTCCTTTTTCTGTTTTAGGGTCAAAGGTCACAACTAGTGTGTGGTTTGAAGGCTATTATGGCTAATCCACACTTTCTTACCAAGTTTTTCCTTTACCATGAACATTGGCACTGTAGTTTATTTTAAGCCAATTCCACATACATTTTCCTGCTGCTCACCAGAGCACCACATGCACTTTTGAAAAGAGTCCCCAGCAATGTTTGCTAAAAACGGCAGTGCCCAGCCTATCCAGGGTTTTTATTTTGTTTTTTTATTTATGTATAGTTTCTGAGCTTTTATTGCCTTAAATTGATAGTGATGGCTGAAGATTGGGATGACACGCAGCAAAGGGCCGCAGGTCGGGTACTAACCCATGGCCACGGCAGCAAGGACTCAGCCCTAGGCAAGTGGGGCGCCAGCTGCTCCACCAGATGAGTCCCAGGATGCCCCTAGTTGTTGGCAGTTTTTAAAGATTTGGGTTTTTCAGGAGAAACCAGTTAAGCTAGTCTAGGCTATATACCATCCGACTATCGCCTCTTGAGGTACAAAGTGGCATTTTTAGACAGGACGGACAGAAGCTTGCTGGTTAGCAAGACCTATTTCTTGAAAGATGTGATGTTGACCGTGTGTTTTATCTATGCTATTGAATGATGAATTGTCAAATAAGAAATTGGAGGCAATTTTTCAGATTTTCACCACTCCTGCTAGAACTCTTCCCTGCCTTTTGTAGACCAAAATATCTTCCTTGTATTGTCATTATTTAGCCTGTGCTGGTTTCTATATGCAAAGTGCCACTGAGAACTGGCATTAATATTTCATAAGCCACCCTTTTCACTGCAGGTAGACATCTGCACTGTGCAGCAATGAAGCTACCAGGGTAAATGACTGTTGTGTGGTTTTAAACAAAATATAGAAACAACCCTCTTATTCGCACAGCCAGCCATGAGCAATTGCCAGCACTTGTTTGGAGTTTTATATCTTCTTTTTTTTTTTTTTTTTTTTTGAAACTGTAAACCTTCTGCAGACCATAAAAACTGATCCTGAAATTACAAGGTTTCAAATCACTCTGACTGGAAAGAACACTTTACAGCCACATTGTCCCAAGGCCAAAGCTCCTTCAGTGCGTCAAACAACAGGTCCTCTCTCAGCACTGCTTGCCTGGTGGGCCAGAAAAACCACAGAGGAGATGTTAGGACCTGCTATCAGAGCAACGTGTGCCCTGTGGTCTGCTGTCTGATCACATAAAAACGTCAGGGAAGCCGTAGATGAGCCTTTGGACACTTGCCAGACTGAGGCAGAAAGCAGTATTTTCCTTGGTTTAGCTCATAACCCATTGACCTCTGAGGTTTCCTTCCTTTTATTTGTTAGTCTCTTGGTCTATGTCCCTGTCATTTTCTCTCATTCTCTATTTGCTTCTCTCACCTTTTTTTTTTTTCTCCCAATATATGTTACCTGGTTAGTCTTTCTACTGTAGACATTAGGGTTTTCATATCAACTAATGCAACCAAGGCTGGCAATAACATGTTCACTTGCTCTTTTCATAGATGTCTAGAATGGTTATTTTTAGATAAGACACGATTTGCCACATGACTTGGCAAACGAGTTTCGCCGGGATTGAATTAGGACTTGGAATTGCTCGCTAATTGGAAATTACGAAACCCAGTACAAGTGTTGGCTCCAGAAGCCTGTCTGAGCATGTGTCACTCTGCTCAAGTGGGATTTCATAAGCATTGTATCTGGGTTTTTCATTTTTGATTCTATATGAGCGGAGCAGCCGGGCATTTTCATAATGGAATGGAATTTAAACTGAACCACATATGAAAACAATTCAGTGTGCCACACATACAGAAAGTTATGAAAATGACATGGAATTGTAGTCTAATGATATTTCCAGAATATTTCCAGAGTCAAACTGTTTCCTGTCTTTAGTCTACTTTAGTTACACTAAAGCAATCTGAATGCACCTTGACAAAAGTAACATTTTAATTTAACCAGAGCAGCTGCAAAAATGAGGACAAACTAGAAACAGTTGGTAGTAGAGCAATTATAAGAAAACATACCGTATAATGCCAGCATGACTAATCAAAACCAGTGTTGTATTCACCGAACAGCAGCAGGTATGGTTTCAGAAATCTTGGCTGGCCTCACGACAATACGCTTCACATTCAGGTCCCACTTGTCTTAGTGAATATCAGTTCTCTTTGGGACTTCCAGCATTAGCTAAGTTGAAGAGTATGTTTTAAGTGAATTTCCAATCATGGACTGGGATGTCTCAGGTTAGAGTGTGAATAAGCTTCAGAGAGGCACAACTATTGTGTAAAAACACCACCTTTTGTGCGGTAGTTATGAAGGAAGTGCTTGCATTTCAAAGACAATTTTAAAGTCTGTATGATTTATACAAGCACTGCAGCCTCCTTGCTCCCTTAACCACATCACTCTGTTTTCCTCCCACTCCCTAATGACATTTTTCTGAGGAGAAAAAAAAATGTCCAGCGTTAATCTCTGTGCCATATGGGTGGACTGATAGATGCTGCGATGCTAAGTGGCTTGCTCAAACCGTGCTGGCACAAAATAATTATAATTTATGAGGCCAAACCTTCCGATTCATCACAGAGCGTGCCTTTTGAGGCAGCCACGACACATCATTATGGGATATCGCCTTTCCCTCTCATTGGCCTCTTAATCCAATAGAAGGGTGGTTTTAGCCAAACCTACCTCTATACATGCTATTGTCTTTGGCAATGCTGTTTAGTAATGGCTTTGACCTGCCATCCGCAGCCGTCAGGATGTCGACTGAGGGACTACTAATGAAGGTTTATGTGACATGGTGAAGACGTCAGTCAGACGCCATTAGGACATCCTTATGGCACCATTGATATAGCTTAGTGGGGGAGAGCTTCCTGTGCAGTTAAGACTTACTGTAAGTATATTTGAGCAGGCATCATATGAACATTTCACAGTGCTCTAGTGGAATATTGGTTAATCATGTCTTTACACTGTGTCTTTCAGGTGAATATTTTTGTGACTTTCAAGCCACAGAACCCTCTAATACCAAATTAGTTCCCATTTTTCTCACTGCTTCATTTAAAAAAAGAGATTCT